GAAGGAATCCTGAGACAAGCACGAAGTAGAGAAAAGATCACATACAGGGGAAAACCCATCAGAATCACTGCTGACTTCTCCGAAGAGACCCTACAAGCAAGGAGAGAATGGACAAAGATCTTCCAAGTCCTGAAACAAAACAACTGTCAACCAAAAATAATCTACCCAGCAAAGATCTCATTTGTATATGAGAACGAAATCAGATACTTCAATAGCAAAGAAAAACTAGAAGAATATGTCTACACAAAACCAGCTCTGCAAAGTCTCCTTAGAAATGCACTAGTCCCGGACAAAAAGGAGGCAAATCACAAACAAAGCTGGCAAATAAGAAGGTCTCCAAACTAAAAGCTGCACAAACAAGACAACTACATAGGCAACAACACACACACAACACAATCACATGGCAGGGCAAAATTGCAAACTCTCAATTTTAACTCTCAACACAAATGGTCTAAATTCACCAATCAAAAGACAGAGATTAATAGAATGGATCATCAAACAAGACCCAACCATCTGTTGCCTACAAGAAACGCATCTAACCAGAAAGGATGCAAAGAAACTGAAAGTGAAGGGATGGAAAAAGATATTTCACGCCAATAGACGAGAAAAAAAAGCTGGGGTAGCTATCCTAATTTCAGACGAAATAGATTTCATTCTAACTAATATCAAAAGAGACAGGGAAGGCCATTTTATACTGGTGAAAGGAATGATCCATCAAGAAGCAATCACCATCATTAATGTTTATGCACCGAATCTTAATGCACCTAGTTACGTAAAGCAATTACTTACAGACTTAAAGGAAGACATAGACACCCGCACAATTCTTGTAGGCGATCTCAACACACCTCTAACAACAATGGACCGGTCTATGAAACAAAAACTCAACAAAGAAACAACAGAGCTCACACAAACAATAGAACAACTAGACTTAGTAGACATATATAGAACTTTTTATCCTAAGGCCACAGACTATACATTCTTCTCAGCGGTGCATGGCACCTTCTCCAGAATCGATCACATGATAGGACATAAAGCGAATCTAAACAACTTCCAAAACATTAGTATCATACCATGTACCCTCTCAGACCACCATGGGATGAAACTGGAAATCAACAACTCAAAACTCCCCAGGAAGTATAGGCACTCTTGGAAATTGAACAATATGCTATTAAACGAACAATGGGTCAGAGAAGAAATTAAAGATGAGATCAAAAAATTCATGGAAACCAATGAAAACTCTGATACAACATTCCAAAACTTGTGGGACACCGCCAAAGCAGTGCTACGAGGTAGATTCATTGCAATCGGAGCGCATGTCAAGGCCCAAGAAAGACGCCAAATACAGGAACTAACCACACACCTCCAGGATCTGGAAAAACAGCAGCAGAAGAGTCCCACGCACAATAGGAAACAAGAAATCATCAAAACAAGGGAGGAGATAAACCAAATAGAAATCAAAAAAACTATACATAAAATCAACAAATCAAAAAGTTGGTTTTTTGAGAAAATAAACAAAATAGACACTCCACTGGCCCGATTGACCAAAAAAAAACAAGAGAAAGTGAGAATCAATAGCATTAAAGATGAAAAAGGCAACATAACAACAGACACTGCAATCATTAAGAAAATAATTAGAAATTACTACAAAGAACTGTACTCCCACAAATTTGAGGACCACCAAGAAATAGAAAAGTTCTTGGACTCCCACCACTTACCAAAACTCAGTCCGGAGGCAACTGCAGAATTAAATAAACCCATAACCGAGGGTGCCCACTATCACCACTGCTATTCAACATAGTCCTAGAGGTACTTGCAGAGGCCATAAGACAAGAAAAAGAAATCAAAGGCATACGTATAGGAAACGAAGAAGTCAAGCTTTCACTATATGCAGATGACATAATCCTATACATAGAAAAACCAGGAGACTCAATACAGAAACTGCTAGAACTTATACGAGAGTTTGGCAGAGTGGCAGGGTACAAAATTAACGAACGAAAATCAACAGCCATAGTGTACGCAAATAACACCAAGATGGAAGAAGATCTAACCAACAGGATACCATTCAAAATAGCAGAGAGAAGTATGAAGTATTTGGGAATAAATCTAACCAAAAGCGTAGGAGACCTATTCGAAGAAAACTACAAACTATTTAAAAAGGAAATTGAACAAGACCTCAAAAGATGGAATAACATCCCGTGCTCCTGGATAGGCAAAATCAATATTATTAAAATGTCTATACTACCACAAGCAATATACACTTTCAACGCAATTCCAATCAAATTGCCCAAAACATTCTTCACGGAACTGGATACAATGATTCAAAAGTTCATCTGGAAACACAAAAAACCACGAATAGCTAGAACCATCCTGAAAAATAAGAGGTTAGCAGGGGGAATCACAATCCCGGACCTCTGGACATACTATAGAGCAGTGGTTATCAAAACAGCCTGGTACTGGCACAAAGACAGAAAGGAAGATCAATGGAATAGAATAGAAGCACCAAAAGGGAACCCACACAAATACAGCCAATTAATCTTTGACAAAAAGACCAATGATAGCTCAAACAAGTGGGAAGGCCTCTTTAGTAAATGTTGTTGGGACAACTGGCTGATAGCCTGTAGAAACAAAAGGATAGACCCACATCTATCACCATACACTAAGATCCAATCTACATGGATAAAAGACCTAAACCTACATCCAGAAACCTTCAAACTCTTGCAAGAAAATGTAGGAAATACACTACAAGACCTAGGAGTAGGTTCCGACTTTCTAAGAAGGACACCAAAAGCAATAGCAGTTGAGAACAGAATAAACAAATGGGACCTCATCAAACTAAGAAGCTTCTGTACAGCAAGGGAAACAATCAACAAAGTAAAAAAGCAACCCACAGAGTGGGAAAGATCTTTGCACACGATATAGGCGATAGGGGGCTAATTTCCAGGATATACAAAGAACTTCAAAACAACCAAAAAACCAAAACAAACAAGCCACTCAAGAAATGGGCAAGGGAAATGGGCAAACATTTCACAAAGGAACAAGTCCAAATGGCAAACAAACATATGAAAAAATGTTCCAGCTCCCTAGCAATAAGGGAAATCCAAATTAAAACATCGATGAGGTACCACCTAACACCAGTAAGATTGGCCCACATAAACAAGAACACCAACGACGCTTGCTGGCGAGGATGCGGGGAAAAGGGAACCCTACTCCACTGCTGGTGGAGCTGCAAATTGGTACAGCCTTTATGGAAATCAGTCTGGAGAACACTCAAACAACTCGGAATCTGCATGCCATATGACCCAGCAATAGCACTCCTAGGAATATATCCAAAACACCTGTTTTACGACAAACCAACATGCATCCCTATGTTCATTGCAGCACAATCAGTAATTGCAAAAACATGGAAGCAACCGAAATGCCCATCAATAGAAGATTGGATAAGAAAGCTTTGGTTCATCTACTCCATGGAATACTACTCAGCTATTAAAAAAAACAAAATGCAGTTCTTTGTGGCTAAATGGGCACAACTGGAAACTATAATGCTAAGGGAAATGAGTGAATCCCAAAAGATTAGATACCACATGTTTGCCTTGATTTAACCTGTAATTTATTGTTTGGTTGTTTGTTATTTTTTGAACGTGTCATTGATGCTGTCTCAACCCAGATGTTTCGAAGAATGGAACTTGCATTATTTTTAACATATTGTTTACCCAATACTATGTCAATTAATTCCATAATGTTGTATATTGATACTGAGGCCTTGTTGGTGCTTTTAACCGACCGGATCTTTACTCTGTTAGACTTATCTTCAGACCATAGAAGGTCTCCCCAGGAAGCCACTGAACTTATCTGGACAATAAGACGCTGAACTTTATGCTAGGCATGTGTTTGCAAGCAATGAATCTCAACTGAACTTGAACTATGGTTATGCAGCAAGGTGGAGGAATCCACCATGGGGGGAGGGGTATGGGGAGGGGTGGGGGGAATCCCCAGCGCCTATAAAACTGTACTACATAATACAGTGTAAGCAACAATAAAAAAAAAAAAAAAAAAAAAGAAATCTGTATCTGAATTAGATAGATCAGCTATATTATATTTGCTATTTTAGTACAAAAAAAGTTCTTCTTGCTTACAATAATTTGTTGAATAAATGATACTCATACTCTCAAATTCTTATACACACAAAATGTTCATTTTCCTTTGAAATTCAGGGAAAATATTTTTTTAAAAGATTTATTTTTATTATTTTTTTCATTGGAAAGGCGGATATACAGAGAGGAGAGACAGAGAGGAAGATCTTCCGTCTGATGATTCACTCCCCAAGTGAGCGCAACGGGCCGATACTATGCCGATCCGAAGCCAGGAGCCTCCTCCGGGTCTCCCACATGGGTGCAGGGTCCCAAAGCTTTGGGTCGTCCTCGACTGCTTTCCCAGGCCACAGGCAGGGAGCTGGAAGGGAAGCGGGGCTGCCGGGATTAGAACCGGCACCCATATGGGATCCCGGGCGTGCAAGGCGAGGACCTTTAACTACTTGCGCCACCGCGCCGGGCCCGGAAAATATGTTTTATATACTATTATATATAGCAGAAAGATCTAGCAATTTACACTCACTCTTTCTCCTCACTAGAAATACAGTTAGACAGCATTTATCATCCTCCTTAGCAAGCGTTACCATATGACTTGAGTTTCAGCACCCAGGCTTGACCTACAAAAATCTCCCACTCATAAAATTCTATCCCCTTCTACTACCTAGATGCAGATGACCAGATCCTAGCGGATGACAAAAACAGATGGACTACGACTGTGTTCCTGATTCTCCGCATGGAAAAAGTCTGTCATCAACCAGAGGTATCCAGATGAATGAGGAAAGCATGACTTTGTATTAAACCACTGAAATGCTGGGCTCTATTTGCTACTACAACTAGTATTACATGCACCAAAACATGTATAAACATAAATAATCTTCCAACTCTCATTATTATGGGATACATTATACTTACAAACAGAGGTTTATAATATGCTGGACCCAGTGTGTCATCACTAGCAGGTGGAACACATTTTCTAATACTATCATCTTCATTAATGTGATAACCATAGGACTGTCCACAAGAAGGAATTGAAGGAACATCCAAAGCTTTAGTAAATGTCCGTGCTCTTGAAATTTTCTGTAAGGCAAAAGTTAATTTAGTCAAAGGCAACAGGAAAAGGAATTATGAAAATTATTGAAAGCCAATTATTAAATATTGACAATGATCATATAATATACACCAAAAAGATTTTATTTATAAAAGTAACTCAAAGGAATGAGTTTAAAGCCATTTTTATTTATTATTATTATAATAGAGCTTTGCAGGTAAAGTCATTGTATAAACCAAACTACTAAAGTCATGATAAATGTATATATATATATATATATGAGTTCTGTTTCATTTGCGTCAGTTATTTATCTTGCTTACTAAAGTAAATATTGATTCAAAGGCAAGCATTCCTACAGTCACACTATTACAGCATATACCATAAACACACTTTGTATTTTTAACAACTTTTCCTAGCTTCATTACTTTCCAGCTTCTGACTTATCTCCACATTACCTGTTCTTCATACAAATACCCTAATTATGCACACTATGAAGCAGGAAAATAATGCTAAATGAGAACAGTAATTATGAATTTTAATTATGAAGATAACTGTGTAAATTATGTGAAATTATATAAAATGTAGAAAGTCATGTATCACAGTAGTGAAGGAAACTTTGCAAAAGCTAAAACAATGTTAATATGATAGGTAGAAGTCTTCAGAGGATGATCCTTCTTTTACAAAAAGTCATGTATCACAATGCTGGGCACAGCTAGGCTGTAGCACCCACCAGTGAGAGTTGGAAAGGGAGCCAGCCAGGCCAAGCCAGGCCAGGTCAGGCTGCAGCATCAGATGGCAAAGGCCAAGACAGGGAATGGGCTATGCCAAACTGGGTCAGAGCAACCACTGACATGCACAGATCTGTGGCTGGGAACAGGCATGGCTAGGGAGCTAAGGGGATGAACCGGCTGGGTTGTAGTTCCCACCGGGGAGCACAAGAGCCAAAATGGAGGCAGCAATCTGGGTTGGACATGACTACAATGTTCATTGGCATGGGTGTGAACTGGGTCTGGAGTGTGTCAGACTGGGAGAGCCAGGGTGAGCTGCACTAGGTCTCGGTACCCGCTGAAGCATGTGAGAGCTGTGTTGGTGTGGACAAGGTGCTTCTGGGCTGTAGCACCCAATAGTAAGAAATGGAATGGGTGTGAGTAGGTTGGGCAAGGCCACTGTTCCTGCAAGGACAGAAGGTGAACTAAGTCAGCCTGGGTAAAGAATACAACAGAGTGTGTGAGTTCTGCCACTGGGAGGAGACCTGATAGAGAAGCTTGGGGAACTCCTCTGTAGGATATAGTCCCTGCAGATGAGCAAAAGAACCAAGGCTGGGAGCAGCCCAGAAAAGGCCAAGTTACAGCACCTGCTGGCACACATGTACCTCAGGTGTGGAGGCAGGACATGCTGGGTCAGTTTATAATACTTCCTTGCAGATCCAAGTACCAAGTTGGAGTGCAAGATAGGCTGGTTCAGGTCACAATACCAGCTAATTCACATTAGAGTTGGGACTGGTTACTGGCTGGCCTGGGCAAGGATACAGCACCTGCCAGCATGAGCTGGAACTGGGAGAAGAGAAGGCTAGGCCAGGATAAGGCACCCACCAGACAATGCAAAGGGGAGGCAGGCCACGTAAGACTGGGCCACAGCACCCATCAGCACACATGAGACATGGGCGGGGGTGATTTGAGTCCAGCAGAGGGGCTGCAAGGCGCTCACCTCTGGGCTATTGCTCCCACTGGTGAGCATGAGAACTTCAACCAAGGACAGACCAGGCTGGACAGGGCTACAATATGTACTGACCTCATGAAAACTAGGTTGGGGGAGAGTTAGCTTGGCCTAACTGACTCTATCAACTGGTACCAACTGGTACATGCTTAGACTAGAGGAAGTACAGGCTGCTTGGGCTTTGCCACAGCATCAACTGGCAAGTGCTATGACTGGGAGCAAATCCTGTCAAACTGCATTGCAGAACCACCTGTACAGTGCAAGATCCAGAACTGAGAGTAGCCTAGTAGGAAACTGCGGGCACCTCTCTGATGGACTGCAACTCCCACCAGTGAACATGAGAAGCAGGGCTGGGAACAGTACTGGCTAGTCAGGTGGTGGCACCCACCAGCATGAGTGTGGGCTAGATAGTGGGGTCAGTTGGGTTGAGCCAGGCTACACATGCCCATTGATATATACAAGCCCTGAATAGATGTGAGACAGACTGAACCAATCTTCTGCACACACCAGCAAGCACAAGAACCAGGGATAGTGGCAGACCTAGTGAGGGTTGCTGGGGATCATTCTGATCATTCTGCAGTTCTCACAGGTGTATGTGAGGGCCAAGTATGTGGTGGGCATGGCTGGGCTGGGCCACAGCACCCATTGGTTTATGCAAGAGACAGGGTTAGAGACAGAACTGACCTAGCAATTGCAACTAGCAGTGTGTGTGTAGGCTGATATGGGTGACTGACTGAGCCAAACCCTGTACTGGTAAGCACACTCAAAGATCAGGTCTGAGATCACCTCAGATGAGGTTTCTTTGGGCAACTAAACCACCGGACTCAGAACTCCAACCACAGGGAGAATCACAGAATCTGTGGTCTGATTGTGGAGTGAATGTGTCAGAACTAGCTTCCTCAATGGCTTAGACAGAGCAGCAGAGAGCACGCTCAGATGCACATCGAGGTTATGGCAGTCCGTTGGGGCCTGCAGAGAACATCTGGTACCACAGCAGAAGAAGGAGGGCAGAACAAACTTAATAACCCCAGCCACGCTTGACAACAAATATCTGGGTGAATGGAGACTTTAAAGTGCACTAAATCCACCAATGGACTATGGAAGGATTTCCTCATCCTTGGAGTGGCAATATCAACAGCATTTCAGAACTTTCAAAATCACATAAGCAGAATCATCAGAGCATGCTCCACTTCAGGGTCTCTGGGATGCCATTGAGTAGCTATTCCCCAGCCCCAAGTATTGAGGTAGTTGGGAGGCTGGGTGTGACTTCTCCCCTCCCTCATCAATCCCCTTCCCCTGGATACAGAAAGAACAAAATTTGGCAGCAATGTTTTCACTCACTTTCCCTAATCCTCAACCCCTCTCACTCTAATTAACTATGTAAACATCATCAAAAAATGAAATAAATATATAGGGAAAAAATTTTCAACTGAAAAAATATCAAGTTAAATGGTTTGTGCTGCTTTATCCAAGGCTCCCTTTCTTTTGGTTACTACTGAAATATGATCATGATTCTAAGACATGAGTGCATAAATTATATTTTACTAAATTTTACTCATTACTTTCCTGTTAAAATTATAGCTGTGTGACACTCATATTCACTCAATAAATGCTTGATAAACCTTTACCTAAGTAGGTATCTTGTGTTCACACATGAAATAGTTCAGGTTTAAATATACTTCCAAAATTAATCCCATTGTGATTAAACTGACATTACTCAATTGAGTACTCAATTCTAAAAAAAAAAATCTTCAATACAGAACTAAGATGCAATTAATGTGAGCTACATAAAGAAATCAGGGCAAGAGAAGTGTACATGACTAAAATTAACTAGATAGTCTGATTTATTCCAAAGGACAGAGTTTGGGTGTCAAAAATCATTCTTTATACAGCAGCAATACATTTCCAAGCCTACCTTACACTTTAGTCTCCAGCACAAATTCCTCATCCCACTTAAAACAACCTTTCCACTACCTCTTATGAAACCCCATTTTCATATGCCCACTCATAGCATTCCAGTCCTGAAATGAACATTCTGATCTTACTCATCACGACCTATCTTATCACCAGCCTCCTCCAAAAATTCTCTATAAATTATGTATGGCATCTTGGAACTTTATAATTCTCCTTAAATGTCAATGGCATTTAAAATAAGATGATTAACACCATCACATTTTGTCTCGAATTAATAATGACCTATCCATGTCTTTTTCCCATCTAAATCTTAAGCTTACATATTTCAGAAATCATGTTTTTAATTTCTCAGCATGATTAACAATACTTAAAGTTTTTTCTCTGTCTAGGTAACCTTTTAAATCTATGTTACTTCACATTCTTCATCAACAATAGATTTCTCAAGCACAAAAATGAAGTCAGATACTATCACAGCAAAAACTTTAAAGAATTACTGAGTGCTGATTTCATTATAAATTAAATACAGTTCAAAGATTATGAAGTTTACTGGCTTTTATGATAAGGCTTTTTAAATGTAGTTAACATCACAAAAATATGCCAAACTTTCTCTTTTTTATCTTCACTAAAAGAACTCTTAAAAGCTTGACTTAAAATATCAACGTACTGACTGTAGATGTTCTTTAGCCTCCAGTACTTTTCTGCATAGTGTTTCAGGAAAACAATGATCATAGCTGGCTGGTCCTGGATTATCAGAAATAAACTTCTTAAAACGTTCCTCTCGGTTTCGTAAACTATGGCCTCCTATTATACACTAAATTGGAGAGAAAAAATATGAAATAATTGAAAACACTTTGCAAATAGTTCTTATTTGTAAATATTAAATATTACCATTAACACATAACTTTAAAACCCAACCTAAAAAAGTTAAGCCTCTCTATGGAAAACATGGTTTTAGTTAAAGCAGGTAATGAAAACTTTTTCAGTTTTAACTCTGAATCCAAACTAAAATTTTCTATCATTGAAGCAGTCCAAAAGAACACAAAAAACTCCTTTAAAACAAGAATCAGAGACAGCAGCTTCCAAAACTACAGAACAAAACTAGTATATATTCTTGCAAGACTGGAACAACCTGTACTTCTGAAATGAGGTTTAAAGATGCTGACATTTGGGGTTAGCATTGTGGCATAGCACCAACATACCATATGGGTACTTGTACAAGCTCCATTTCTGAACCAGCTCCCTGCTGATGTCCTGACAAAGCAGAGGAAGATGGCCGAAGTGCCCGTGTCCGCACACTCACGTGGAAGACCTGCATAAAACTCCTGGTTTCTGGCTTTGTACCAGGCCAGCTCTGGCTATAAAGCCATTTGGTCATTCTTCACATTTAGATAAATAATTTTCAAAATAAAAGTTAAAATTTTTTTAAAAGCCATTTAGGGAATACCAGCAGATGAAAGAACTTTGTCTTTTCCCCCTTCTCTCTCTCTCTTTGTAACACATTCTTTAAAATAAATAAATATTTTTTTTAAACTGCTGACATTCACATTGTAGCAAAATAAAAACAATTATTTTAAAAGCCTTTCAGACTTGCTTAGGATTAATTCTATTCATCTTGGTGATTTCCAAGGAAATTAATGTAGATTTACTAGCCACATCTTAGTTTTATGCACAGATTCGGTTTTTTATTGTTTGTTTGTTGGCTAGTTGGTTGGTTGGTTTTAATTTGTCAGGCAGACAAAAATGGATCTTTCAACTACTGGTTCACTCCACTGAATGCCCAAAACACTCAGGGATGGGCCAGTTCAAAGCCCAGAGCCAGGAATTCAGTTCAAGTTTCCCTCCTAAGTGATTCTGATAATTACTTGAGGTATCACCTAATGCCTACCAGAGGATTAGCAAGAAGCTATATCCAAAGCAGATCCCCAATTGAATCCATGCACTTCAATACAGGATAATGTGTCCCAAGCAGTATAGTGACTATTGTACCAGATTCCTAACCCTTCAGATTACTTTTAAAAGAACACAGAGGAATCTTCTATGACTCACCAGGCAACAAATCTGGATTCTCCAGAATAAAAAAAAAAATTCCAAATGACCAAATAGTTGATTCAAACAAAATTCCAAAAGGGTAGATGATGACACCTTTGATTTCAAAGATGTTGGAGTTACAGCAACTATTTCTGACTGGACCACTGAAGGTATTCTGGTCACACATTTTGGACTCATTGGTAAAACAGGAGACAGAAGAAACAATGTCCAGAGCTACAGTTCTAGAAAACCAATCCCTCTACCTTATAACCATTTTCATCTAGATATATGGACCTCCCATTCTTGTGACATAATGGTTTGTATCCTTTAGAATATATAGAATAATGAAAAAGACCCCATCAGGCAACCAATATCAAAATCATTTTTCTTATTATGCAAATTATAAAATATAGGCTAAAAAGAGAAATAAAACCCGAAGAAGAAACTATAACAAATGGCATTTTATTACTATAGAGGAAGAAAATATGACTTTAACTCTGGTATAATGACTTTATGAATGTACCTGTGCTTCTGAAACATTATAGTGTCCTGGACCTGGACCATCTTGCTCAGTGTTAGGGGCAACAGGAAAAGCACTCTCTCTGGCAGCTGAAGAAAGAAATGGTGCATAGCCACCTATGAAAATAAACCATTAACACTGGCAGGTAAGATACTATCCCAAGGATCTCAGAGAAAGAAACATTCACACATCATTTAACATTCAATGCAGAGACTATACTTTCAAAACTAATGGCTAAACATGGAAGTTATTACTTTTTTTAAAGAATTAGATCAAAATTTTTGAAAACTAAAAATCAGATCAGACCATTTATGTAATAAATGGAAGCAGCTACAGGATTAAATTTATCAGCAACAGAAAAAAATATCCAATCAATTCCCAAAAAGAGTAATTTTTTTCTAATCTAAAATGGTATGCAACAAAATGTAACAGTGTATGTGACCAAGGACACAATAACCACACTAACTGTAGACTTTAGGAAAATTAGATCTTATGTTGGCTAATATAACACTCTTATCTCTTAACTCAATGTTTTGCCTCTTTCCACCAAATATACCCATAAAGTGTTATTGTTTTGCCTGTGTATAGGTCAAGCCATCCATTTTCTTGACATGTTTCTCAAGAAGCTGCACTGATGTTTGAGATCGAATTTTAAAGAATCCTATTGTTGTATCTACAACCAGTTTTGGTATTTGGCTGTTCAGTTTAATTCCCAATGTGTTACTAGTTAGTCATGGTTTCCTCTTCTGAACCCCTTAATAAAAGTGGCATTTCTTCATTCAGAAGGATGGTAGCTCTTCAGGCACTTGTCTGCTACATTCTCATTTTACCAATAAACTTACCCCTCCAACTTCGTCTTTCTTACTCTAATGCAGCAATATTGTCAAGAAACAGACTTTCAATAAAAATACTTCTACTCATCTGGTAACAAAATGCCCATCTAATATCAGTCCCTGGAAAGAGAACAGTCTCTTCAACATTCAGTGCTGGGTAAATTGGATCTACAAGTGTAAAAGTATAAAACAAGATCCCTGTCTTACAGCTTGTACAAAAGTCACCTCAAAATGCAGCAAGGATCTAAATCCAATATCTAATACCATCAAATTTCTACAAGAGAATATCTAAGAAGCTGCCAGAGACTTCTTGAGGAAGATCCCAGAAGCACAGGCAATTAAAGCAAAAATAGGCAAATGGGATTATATCAAGCTAAGAAGGAAAGCTGCAACTGAAACCCTCCAATAAGGTGAAAAAAACAGCCAACATAATGGGAGAAAACATTTGCAAACTATGCAACTGATTAATATCCAGAGTTTAAGGGAACTCAAGAAATTAAAAAACAAAACAACAACAAAATAAGCAGTTATGAAAAAGGCAAGCAACATAAACAAGATTTTTTCAAAGGGTATCTTGATGGCCAACACATATATGGAAAAATGCTCAGGATCACAAACTGCAAATAAAAACCACAATGAAGTTTCACTTTACTCCAATTACAGTAGCCATATGGGAATCAGAAACATTTGAGTGCTGACAAACATGTGAGGGGAATAGGTACTCTGATGCTTTGCTGATAAAAAAAAAAAAACACAAACTAGTGTAGCCACCAGAGAAGTCAGTACAGAGATTGCTCAGAGATTTGAAAATAGATCCACTCATGGAAATTAGACCAAAGGAGATTAACTCAGCATATGAGTTACCCAGTTATCAATTTATAGCAGCTCAAGTCACAATAGCTAAAATATGGAATCAAACCACATGTCTACCAATAGATGGCTAAATAAAGAAAATGTGGTAGGGCCCGGCGCGGTGGCGCAAGTGGTTAAAGGTCCTCGCCTTGCACGCCCGGGATCCCATATGGGCGCCGGTTCTAATCCCGGCAGCCCCGCTTCCCTTCCAGCTCCCTGCCTGTGGCCTGGGAAGGCAGTCGAGGACAGCCCAAAGCTTTGGGAACCTGCACCCGTGTGGGAGACCCGGAAGAGGCTCCTGGCTTCGGATCGGCATAGTATCGGCCCGTTGCGCTCACTTGGGGAGTGAATCATCGGACAGAAGATCTTCCTCTCTGTCTCTCCTCTCTGTATATCCGCCTTTCCAATGAAAAAATAATAAAAATAAATCTTTAAAAAAAAAAAAAAAAAGAAAATGTGGTATATATGCACTGTTGAATACCACTCAGCTAATGAAAAAGAACGAAATCTGCCTTTTGCAATAAAATGGATACAGCTAGAAACCATTATGCTTAGTAAATAAGAATATGTTTTCCCTGGTCTATGAAACTAATAGAGTTCTAAAAAATGTAATCTATGTCAGTAAAATTGATATCTTGAGATTTGATTATTGTTTATAGCATTTATTTATATTCAAGAAACAATGGGTTTTTTCCTACTCTCTTGTTGTTGATACTCAGCCCAATGGAATGCTCAGCCTGTGACTGTGAAGTGAACTGAAAGTATGCCATAGTGAAAGTTAAAAAAATAAATAAATAAAAGAGGAATGGGGAACATAGCTAAGAGGGAAGTTAGGGTGGGCAATATTAGCATACTCCTAAATCTATATTGTGAAATACATGAAATTTGTTCACCATTTTTAAGTAATTTTTTACAATCTCATCAAAGTTCACTGTTTCATGTTTTGAAATCACATATATTACCTGCATAAAATATATTACACCTGGTTGTAGTGACAACCTACACTGAAAGAAATAAAACTGGCTAACAGCAGCTAATTATTTACTTGCTTTGGCACATACTTCTTGATTGTGCAACTCGAAACAAAGGTTTCAAATCAAATATACAAATTTCATCAAAACAAATAATCTTAGTTTTAAGCTGCTGATGTAGTTGGCTCCCATATCAACCATCAGTTCATGTGCTAGCTCTCTTGTTTCCAATTCAGATTCCTGCCAGTTGCCTGAGGGGACAGCAGAATATAACCCAAGTGCTTGGGTCCCTGCCAACTACATAGGAGACCCAAATGCAGCTACAGGGTCCTGGCTTTGGACTAGCTCAGATATGCAGCTATAAGTAAAAGAAAGAAGTATCTTTTTTCATGGAGCTTTAGCTGCATACTAAATGTTTATAAGTTAGAGAGACCAACTACCCAGGTTATCCAGGATGTTGAAACTTAAGTGCTAAGATCAAAGAAAGCAAAATGGTTAGTCAGCTATCACAGAGTCTTATATAGTAAACAATATATAATGGGCATAAAGGGTAATATTTTAAAATACACTTTTAGTAATTCATGCAATAAAATGCATATTGTATCATGTATATGATATGTATGTGCGATAGGCAGTAAGGGCATACTAATGAACAAGATCGCCTTTCCTCAAATAGTGAGGAGGCCAGATAAATAAACAATTATACTACAAATAGTGCTGCCGATAACTAGGTATAAAATACAGGAAATGGTTCAGGGAAATAGTAGAGTTTGACTTAAGACATATAAATTGGCAGGTGAAGTGTTAACTATAAATGTTAAAGATAAAATTGGGAGAAGAAATTAAGACCACAGGGGAGTAGAAGATTTGAAAGAAAGGAATTCTTTTTGCAATATATTAAATTTCAGGCACCACCAGCAAAAAGTAAATCAAACTGGCATGAAGCAATAAAAGTCAGTCCATGCTGAGAAGAAAGGTGGACAGCATGTGATTAAAAGAGAAGATCTATAGCCACAGAGACAGCCCTAGGACAAAGAAAGGGGCAGAGGACATAAGGACATAACCAGGCCTCTGACACATGTGCTCAACTTCCGGTGCATAAACATATAAGCAATTATACACTGTTACTTAAATGTAAATACAGACAGATTGCCTTCCCTGATGCAGCCTCCTTAAATTCTAAATGGCTAATAGATAAAAACCATCATTGTTGCCATAGAGTCACAGGCGCATGCTCTGTGGCAGATAAAATTAATTGCTCCCTCATCAAAGAAGGTATCTTGGAAAGAATACACACTTAGGAAATATCACCCAACTTAAATTGCTAACAATTAATGTGCAACTAATGCAAATTGATATTTACTATGCAAAAAAGCTCAAAACTCAGTGATATTCCTTAGCACAATAATGCCAGGAGCAGGGACACTATCCAAACGTTTTTATCACACTTTACTAGACTTCTAGGCTCTGGTGAAACTACTTTGGTGGGGTATGCTCATGACTCAGGCAGTTGTGACCAAATTTGGCAAGGCTCCCACTAATCTAGAATTCGAGAATCAATTTTCTCTCTCCTACTCATGAAACAAGAACAGTTCAGTCCTATCCCATCCGGTCACATCCAGGGTGGGAGAGATACTCCAAGATCAAATAGCCTAAAGCCTAAGACATGGAGTTTTCAAACTAAGTGGAAACAATTTCCTAAGGAAAATGTAAATACAGTACACTCCAAGATTTACCAAGCAGGATGTATAAGAAGATAGTGGTAAGGGCCTGTGTGATGGTTCAACTGGCTAATCACTTCCTTTCAAGGGCCAGAGTCACATATGGGTACCAGTTCATGTTCCAGCTGCTCCACTTTCAATCCAGATTTCTGCTTGTGTCCTGGTATCCTGTACCTATGGGGGAGACCTGAAGAAGCTCCTAGCTCCTTGCTTCAGATCTGCTCAGCTCTGGCCATTATGCCCTCCTGTGAAGCCAACCAGCAATTAATGGAAGTCTTTGTCTTTCTGTCTCTCCTTCACTGTGTAAATCTGCCCTTCCAATAACAATAAATAAATCCTTAAAAAAAAAAAAAAAACTCCTAGGTATGAAACAGAAAGGTTGAGGGATAAAACAGCATCTTCATCTAAAGCTCCTAGGCACTCTCTTCATGGTAAGTTCAAGATAACAATTACATAAAATCATAACATCTTCTTCCCTTCTTCCTACTCATATTGTGTAAAACCTCACCAAATCCTGAACTGAAATAACTGCAAGATCCAGTACAGTATTAGTCTTAAAAGGAGGTGAGGAAAAATGTTCCTCTCTACTGTTCAATTATCTTGCCAGGGAACCCAGTAGAGAATTAAGAAATACCAGTTCCCTATATTAATTATCAGCATGTTACCCCTAAGTATGGTTAAAATAAGGGCATGCAGGACACACATGCTCAGAGTTCCAAGGAATGCAATTACCTAGTTTATTTCATAGGTCAACAAGGCATATCCCATAAAATAGTAAAAGGATTTTCCCAGACCCTACTTGTTATGCTCAAAGCTCAATTAACACGTGAGAATAAATTTTAATTGTTACATGACTCATTATATTTCAGTTTTAGTTCATAATTCCTTTTTAAATTGGTTACAGAATTGAACTAAGAATTGAGAATAACAGAGCAGAGACCATGATTACTATGATGGCTGACCTTGAACAATTCACTTTCTAAGTGGGGCTGCAGTTAAGTTAAGCAGTCATCACAATGTAGAATCAAAGCATTGTGGAAAAGTCTTTAAAGAGTCAGGGGAAAAAAAAGAGTAAGAGAACAATTGACTTTAACTGAATCTCAAAGAATAGGAATTAGCCAAGTGAAGTAGAAAGACAGATGCACTGCTCAAAAACAAATACACAGAGGTAAGCAAACAATAAATTACAGAAACTGAAAAGCTGAAATTATTTAAATGCATGTCAAGTCTCCACAGGAGTGTGGGTGTCTGGAAAGATCAGGCAAAGTGGGAGACCAAGTCAGAGATCAGAACATTAAAGGATTTTCACCAGGTTCAGGAGCTTAGATATTAACCTTGATGGTACAAAATGATCTTTGTAGACATACTATCTTAGAAAAGAAAACACTCTGGCACAAGAACAAAGACTTAATGGAGACTGAAATAAGAGAGAAACAAGCAATATTTCACTTCTTTAGTCAGAAGAGAACTAAGAGCTTGAACTAAACCAACATTAAAGGGAGAAAGATCAATTATAAAAGAGCTGTGAAAACAGAACTGGTAGGTCCTAATGAGAAGCAGAACAGCAGCAGCTAGGCAGAGAAAATGTCCAGAATAAGACTGAAAATTTATGCTAGAGTAACAGGAATTGTTATTCTTAAAGACCAAGTTTGGTGAGGAAAACGACGAGTTCAGAAGCCTGGAATTTTAGATGCCAGAGCCTACGCAGGGGGAACAATCCAGAAAGCAAACTATAACGCTAAAGACCTTACCATGGAAGAACACTGTGGGTACAAGAATCACCTGCTTCTCTGAAGACGTCATTCTGGGTGCATTCAAATCAAAATACGGATGGCAGTTGATGTTATTAAGTTACAAACGGGAAAACCAACAGGCAAAGAATAAAATGTATAGTACATGAATGCTTCTCTGTTTAAAAATAAATAAAGGATTGGTCGAAAGGGGACAGTGATTCCCTGCTTCAGGACCTAACAAATGTCCCAACCTGGATCAGACACTTTCAAGACAAGAGTAAGAATCAGGAGGAAAGGATGATGTTAGACAAGTGTCTCTAAAGACAAGTGGCCTTGCGTATCAAAATAAAGTGAGGACAGAAAGCCGTCATAGGTGTAGCATTTTGAGTGGCGACTGGTGGCAAGTTGTTGGGGAGTTAACTGCTTGTACCAGCTCACCTGCAGTATAGCTTTAATAAGCTCCAATACAGAGATCGGATATGCCAAAGCAGCGAGACAAGATGTACAGCACCGACAGGGGACCAGTTTGTAATACTCTCCCTCACAAAGAGAAGGAAACCAACCCCAACTGATCAGCTGTGTCAACTGATCCAGAATAATGAATCATAGATTTTGAGTAAAAAATAGAGACCTACGGTACCCATGGGGAAAATACAGGTTAACAAAGGGGGGGAAATGGGACTAAGTGCCAGAAAAAAATAAAACAATTAAAAAAAGAAAAAAATTAGAAAACAAACTGAAAGTATTTACTTATTAAAATAACTTTCCCTAGCTACTAGGGGAATAAATGAGAAGAGCAAATAATTATGTAACTTTTTTTGTCTTCATTCCCCTCGCAAAAACACGAGTGTAGTTTTCCTTTACAGAACGTTGGAAAATGATTTCTCCCTAAGCATGTTCAAAAGAGAATGGGGACATTCAGATTCGGCCCATTTGCTTGAGAGAAAAAAAGTGGAACTATCAATTACCAAAACAGAAATACATAAGTTATATCTTAGTAAATAATGCCTCGCTTGTTAATGGCAAGAGAGACGTGAGGTGCCAAGTGGACGTCGAGGGGAGAGAGGGAGCTGCACCTAGTCCACAGAAGCAGGATGTCAACGCTGGAGGAGGCGCTCGTCCCGCTCGCCTCACGGCCGTGACCTGAGACGCCGCCGGCTCAGGGCCACCCGGAGGTCGGGCGGGCTGGGCGTGAGGAGCCCGCCGCGGGAGCCTAGCCGTCCCCTGCGCCTCTTACCTGTGCCCTGCTGCTTCAGGAAAGGGACCTCGTAGGATCCCGGGCCCACATGGGCCTCAGTGCTGCCACCCTCGGTCGACCTGAGCAAGCGAGGAGCCCTGTCATACATGGCGGGAAATGGCGGGAACCCTAGGGGGATTAAAGACCAGGGGAGCCAGACGTGTGCAGCTAAAGGAAGCGGACACCAGTCGGGAGATTCCTGTGCGCAACTCCCCTAACTTCAGGAGCCCGAATCCGGGGCTATTTCTCCACAGGCCCTTGGGTGGGATTCTCCCCAAGGCTTCTCCTAGCCCCAGCGGGGCCACACAGGGAGTGACCAGCGACAGGTCACCGCACCGAGCCACCCATCCCGCAAGGCCCAGCCCCCTACTACCGGAAGGAGGTGCGGCCGGAGGTGCCGCCCACCCTGTGCTTCCGGCCCTGGCTCCGCCCCGGAAGCCTGGTCAGCGGACTGGAAGGTTGGAGCTACCTGGCCAGGACGAGCCTCGGAGCATGCGCACCGGGCGGACAGTGTTGCCGACTCTCGCCCCGCGCCCTTAGCCTCACGGCACCTGTTAACACTTTCACTGTTAAAAGGGACTGGAGCCTCTTCACTGTGCTCAGAGTCTCTAGAAAACAAGGTAGGAGAGGTGCGGTCAAGAGACCTGCATCCGGTTTTCATTATAGGTCAGGCAGGGAGACGGTAGAGAGTCTCCGCAAAAATCGTGAAAGAAAAACCGATCCTAGTGTAGCAACACCTGCACCCACTGAAAAAGGAGGAGCCCTGACCTTGTCCCCCCTAGATAATTCAGACCGGGAGCGAGGGGGGCCACTGGGGAAAGGATTAGACTAGCTCACCCGGTGAAACACGCTGAGCAGAAGGGCACTGCTGCTCTCAGAAGCCAGGCAACCACAATTAGATCTCATAACGCGAAGTTTAACGGCGATGAGGACACCCAGTCCACTCCCATTAAAGCAATGGATTTCCTAACGTTAAGCACCAGAAACCTGGCTTCCACAAAGAAGTCAGAATTCTCTACTTGTCGCAGGTTGTTGCTTATGAATGTCCTTAAACACCTGGACAAATCCTACTCTGACCATGTTTTGCCCCCAAGTAGAGTGCTTTGCCCCAGTGCAGATCTTGTGCTATACTTCAGTACACGATAGGTAACACACTTCAGTGTGTCATTTCCCTGTGACTTACATGGGATATATCCGTTAGAATACTTTGCCTGTAATGACCAAAATTAAAGTGAGATTAACAGGAAATGCATTCTTATAGACTTAGCTGAAAAATTCTTGAATCCAGCAGAACAAGTTACCTACAGAGGCAAAAGAAAAGGATAAATCAGAATTCTCATCTTAACAGTGTAAGACAGTAGATAAGGGAATGATATGCAAACAACTAAAAAAAGTGGACGGAAACAAAAGAGTCCTATATGCATGAGCAATTTCATTTTATTTGTCACTTCATGCGACACACATAATAAATGAGAACTTAGAAAGCTCTGCTTCCAAAAGACTTTTAAAAAGGCTCCAACTCAAAATGAAGTGATCTATATAAAAAGCCTCCAGGGGAAAGCACAACAAATGAGAAAAAGAGATGGTGTTAGTCAATGAACTTTGTATGTAAAAATACCATTAGCATGTAGTTAAACATTTATAAAACACATTGACCAAAAATATGTACCATATGTTCTCCATAAGGAACCTGGAAACCAAAAGAATAGTAAATGTTTTAAAAAAATGTAATAAATTGGGGAAAATTAAGGAGTTTAATGAGTTGCAAGAGATAACACATAGAGTCGCAAACTAATTTTGATTGTCACTGATTTTGTTTTCAAAGGTTTATTTCTACTTAAAAGTCAGATTCACAGAGAGGAGAGACAGAAAGATCCTCCATCCGCTGAAACACCCCCCAAGTGGCCACAATGGCCAGAGGTAAGCTCATCCAAAGCCAAGTGCCAGGAGCCTCTTTCAGGTCTCCCATCTTGGTACAGGATCCCAAGGCTTTGCGTCATCCTCGACTGCTCTGCCGGGCATCATGCATCAGGGACATGGACCAGAGCCCACTGGGATCCAGGTACATGCTAGGCAACCCCATCCGCTAGGCTACATTAGCAGACCACGTGGTTGCTGATTTAAAGACATGATGATAGCAAAAATATTTCAAAAGCCAATCTTGCTTTGCAGTATGCCAGAAATAGAATGACTTAGTAAAAATAATAACTTATTTCCAAGTAATAATAAATTAGACTCTAATGTTCAACACAGGAAATGGAGACTAGCCAATAGCAAAATTAAAGCCTTACAGCAGGAGTTCTGCCTTTTGAAAAGGAGGGGAAAGGAACTAAACAGATAATCACTAGATCAAATCAGTAGAAATGATCAAAAAGATAAAAAGAAAGTAACGTAAATTACAAAAGTGAGTATCAAACACATAAAGCATTGCACTAGCATGCATATAAAAGCATTAGTCTTCAAAGACAGTTCTCAGGTTTATTTTTAGTCTTGTATGTGATCTACAGGATTGTATACACATTGTAAAATACATTGAGAAAGGTGGAAAATAGAAGCATGGTACAAGTAAAATCAAGAAAATGCAAGCAAACCAAAGCAAAACAGATCAGGGAAATTTAACGTTGAAATACAGGTAAGACCAAGTGATACCAGGTAATCAAGTTTATGAAGAGGATTCACAATAATAAATCATATTGCATCAGATGCCGTAACAGATCAAAACATAAAACAAAAATTAATAGAAAAGCAACTGAGAATTTCAGTACATCATTGATACTATAATGGCAGAAAATGAGCAGTAAAAAAATCATTAAACTAGATATACAAAATTTTCCATTTGTGGCTGATCTTGTGGTCCACTAGCTTAAGGCATTGCTTGCAATACTGTTTCTCATTTCAAGCTGCCACTTGCAATCCAGCTTTATGCTAATGCGTCCTAGGAGGCAGCGGATGATGGCTCAAGTGCTTGGCTCCCTGCCGCCCGGTGAGAAACCCATCTGGGGTTCACAGCTCCTACCTTCAGTCTGGCTCAGCCTGACTATTACAGGCATTTGGGGAATGAACTAGCAAATGGAAAATGACTCCTTCTGTCCACTATGTCTTTCAGGTAGATGAAAACAAACATTTCTTTTAATCTTCCATTTAACTGCAAAGACATCTTAACAAATTTTGATAGTTTTTAGGAAAGCAGTTGAGGACAGCCCAAAGCTTTAGTACCCTACACTTTTTTTAACTCTAGGTAGTTAGAAACTTTCATAGAAAGCTAGCAGCAATAGGACATTGAAACTTTAAACCTTATTCTCTGCCTGATGCTATGAATAAAACTAATAAATAAGCAACATATTTTGAAAATTTCTGTGCACTACAGATCATAGATAAAGGTCCTAATATAATACTGTATTATAGTTTAGAGATTATTGGAAAGGGAAGGAAGACTCAATAGAAAATGAGAAAGGATATAGTGAAAAAATTCATGAGAAAACTAATTAAAATAGCCAAAAATACATATATAAGCTACTAGTATTAATGGAATTCTTCTGTCGGGGTCACAATGAAATGTTACTTTTTTACTCACCAGAATGGCTAAAATACAAATGACCAGTAAAGCATTTATTATGAAAGAACATAAAAAATTCTAATTTTGTAATTATGCATGGTAGAAATGTGCATTATTACTTTTCTGGAAAGATTTCTATGAAGTATTAGTGAGAAAAAGGAGATCCAGAGAAACATCTATGATACCATTTTTATTAACTCAAATAATAACAACCAAAACAAGTAAAAATTTTAAAAGTACATGTCAATGTGTATGTTTCATATAAATGCATGTACAGGTACCCCTCAGTGTATGTAAGCTGCATATTCATAGATTCACATCAGCTTAAAAATTTTTCCAAAGCACTCCATCTCTACTACAAGGACTTCTTTTCTTGTTATTGCCCAAACAATACAATATAATAGCTATTAACATAGCACTTATGAATATAGCATATTAGGTATTATAAGTAATCTAGAGATGAGTTAAAGTAAACTTGTTCCCTAATATCTGTAGAATATTAGTTCTAAGATAACCAGTGGTACCAAAATCTGTAGCTGCCCAAGTTCTTTACCTAAAATTAGATAGTCTTTGCAAGTAATCTGCAGACATTCTGTTTAAATCATTGTTCCTGGAACGATTCCCCCATGAATATATAAAGGATGATTATATATGATTATAGAAGTAGGGAGAAAAATATGGTCATATGCATCCTAGGCAATTAACATAAATTACCTTAGTGGGGAGAAAATGTGAATTAGGAAGGGAAGAGGTAGTAGGGAAAGAATAAATAATAATCACATTTATGCATTGTTTGTAAAATGGGGGAACTGCTTTAGGATCGTTTCATAAAATTTAATATATAAATATATAAATTCTTAGTTGGAGAAAACACGAGAGAAAGCAGGTAGAGCTATAGTGTTACTATTGTTGTAATAATAGTACTGGAGTAAAGCAACAATGAAGAGTTCAGTTAGCTGCAGTTCGCAGTAAATGTTACTCTCTGTATGCATATACACTGTGAGTTGCCCTGGGAAACAAAAGGGAGCTTCAAAATATTAACAGAAGATTTGCATTATCTTCTAATTACATTTTCCACAGATTGTCTGAAGCCCTTTGTGGTGTATCCGTCTGCCAATTCAAATGACACTGATGAAAAAAATCCAGTGGCAGATGAGAAAAACAGTAACTGGGGGCAGATTTGCTTATTAGTCATGATGGAGAAGATGCAGAGAGGTTGCCCATGGGGATTCTACTACAAAATAGAATACGAAGCAATCATTGATGTTGTGGAAAAATGGGTTTAATGAAATTTGCATACATGAGAGTATCTGATAAATGGGCAGATTTAATGTTTCTTTTCCTAACTTTGACCAGAACCTGTGTGTAATGAATTGCCAAACTTGGAGAGCCGTGGTTCTTTTTATGTGCTATAAAATCAGGGTAAATGCAGCAATTGAATGCTTTGATTGTTCTCATCATCATAATAGATTTCTGTGTCCTAGGTCCTCTGAGCATGAGAAGATACTCTAAACAGTTTCTGACAATGTCCTTTAAATGGTAAGAAAAAAAAAAGGAAAATAATGCCAGAGGTACTTTCTTTTAAAAAGTGTGAATAGCAGGGACACGTCTAGAGTCCTTGCCTTGAACACATCGCGATCCCATATAGTCACCAGTTCTAAATGCCAGCAGCTCCGCTTCCCATCTGGCTCCCCGCTTG